ACGGCGCTGCTGAATTAAAACTTAAGCGTGCAGCGACTTGTCTCCACCCACTGAGTTATCCCCGCGCAGTAATAAGGACAGATAATGAGTATACGACGTAGTATACAACCATGACTTTTTGTAACACTTGTTTAGTACATAAAGGAGTTGTAACATTGTGGTTGTTTATTCGTTAGTATCAACACTTCAGGAAAACATATTCAGTTTCTTAAGTGGACAACCAACTTGCTAAAAAATGGCCAAGAAAATCTACAAATTAATAATGTACAGTGCTGCTGTGACTTCTTTTTTTATTGCCTGCTATCCATGGAGTCTTGGTGAGTATGAAAAAATAGAAGTCTCATCGGAAATCTTTTATGAAAAATTTTAGTTATTGGTTCGAGGATGTAAATTTTCGAAGAAATGGTTATCTCGGATTTCGACCGACAAATATACTTACTTACTTAACTATGTACTATATCAATAAGCACCTTGCACTTTACACTGCATGATAATAAAAACATATTAAAAATTCATACTTCTTTAATTCATAGTTAACAACGAATTAAGTATATTAGGATAAAAATTCGTCTAAGGTTATTTCGACAGAAATTCCTTCGCGCCCCTGAAGTACAACTAAGATCCTCTATTTTGCAAAACTTACTAAAATATCGAGCACTATATTGGGACTCTTTCCCTAGTAAAGCAGCGAAGAACTGTTTGTTTACTTACTTTACTTACTGAGCATAAACTAAGGAATTGTTGTAGTAGGGTTCATCCGACGAATATATACTTTCATGTTTTCTCGACTTCTTCTTTTCTTGTTCTTTTTTGAACTGGGCGCTGTAAGAAGTTTTGTCTGTGATAAATTGTCTGCAAACGCGTTTGTTTTAACCCATTCGTTCCATATTTTAATGTGTTTGGCAAGTATATTTCTTCCCTATTAGATGGATTTAAGGGTCTGCGGCTTAAATTTTCATTTGTTGTGGCTCAAAACAGTTCGTTTCCTTTTGATCTTCTGAAGAAATATTTCTTCAATTTTGGAACTTGCTTGTATACATTTTCCAGGTTCTCAAAACTTTTTCCTCCATTATTTCGTGGTAACGAGATTCTCTCGGTTAAGGATATCTTCTGATTGTGTGAATATTTCTGATTGTGATGTTTAAACTTTCTAAATCAGTTTTTGACCACTTATTTCCAAAAGATTAGATCACCATGTGATTAACTCACTCAAACAAACGTTCCGGCAAAATGACGTAAGAGCACAAAATTTTAAGTTACGCGAAAAATTCAAAATTTGGCCTCGAATTGTGGTCGCCAACAAAATGTAAGCCTGCGTTGTAAATCAAAATCCAAAATATGGAGGGCAAACTGTTCCTCCATTCTGAAGAGGGAAAGTCTGGAAACTAGCTGCAAAAACTCTCTCTAGCTTTGAAAAATGAAATGAAATCTTTCAGGTTGACGGAACACTTTGAATAACACAATTTTAAATAAACTGAGATAAAATAAATCTTTTTCTACTTTGCGTTAACAATGGCCTCATTATTAAATCGAAACCAGTTTAATAATGGGATCAATTGTTAAACTGTATTTCAGGTGGCGTGCAAGAAGTGGGGCCCCCTTCTTCCATTTTTTGAGGCAAACTTAGGTTAGATTGTTAGTGTTCGGTGGTTAGATGTCAAACTTTGACATTGTGAAGTTAGCCACAACGCTACAACTAACCTTTCGCATTAAAAGGCCCTAAATTATAACCTTGAATTTTTATTAATTTTTAGTTTTCGATCAGATGCAAAGTAGAAAAAATAGTATATTATACTCGTTTAATAAGACGCATTGTGGCACTTATTCCTTTGGAGCACTCCTCGCTGCGCTCGTCGTGCCCCAAACCCATGCGTGCCACAATAAGATGTCTTATTAAACTAGTATGATAAATTGTAATCCTATTAGGTTACAACGGAAGTTTTATTTATTTCTTAGGAAAGCTCTTAGCCTTAACATGTTTACTATAAAATTTTAAATAAGGATTTCAGGATTTGTTGATGGCAAATTGTGGACAAAATGATGGGAGTCATTAACCATGGGAGTTCTGAAAGAGATATATTGAACATGATGAATGCTTGGCTCATGGGATCTTAATTTGATAATCGTGAGGGGTTATGTTTGACAAATTTTTGTTAGATCTAGCTGTCTGTGTTCTCTTTTATAATGTGGCGGCAAGTGTTTTGTAGAGTGTATAACTTGTTTTTAAAATCACCCAAAAGAAAATTGTCAAGCCAATTAAATCACCATCAGTGTAAATTAGTTGACTCCTTGATCTGTAAAACGTTATAAACCCGAACAGTCTATTTAATACTGCGATTTCAATCCGTAAGTTCGTAAGATATGTACCCGACCTTCTCGCGAAATAAGTAATTAGTTAATAAGTAATATATGTACATTTATTTATTGTTAACTTTGTATACTTAAATCCCGCTACAATTATTATTTGTTTTCCGATAACATATGAAACCTTGATAGATAACAAATAAAGTATTTTTCATCCCGTGTTTGGAAATTCCAAGTTTTAATACACTAATCGTGTACGTTGGATACAATTCTTCGATAAAAGATCTTTCACTTATGCAATTATCATACAAAGTGTGTCCGAAACTAATATATTTTCATCATTGTTTGCCTTATCCGCAAGTGTCAAATTACAAGGACGTTCCAGAACATGCATGTAGAGTGCAGGAAAGTGCATGTGTCAAGTTGACGCATGAAGTTGTGTGGACGTTTACGTGTTTTATTATCATCACATTACAGTATTGTATTAAACTTCAATTATTTCACAAATAATAAATAAAATCTATGTAATTAAAAAAAAAACTGTAATTAACACGTATAAAATATTTTATAATTTATTTTTTTAGCTCAAAAAATATAGACGTAGAAAAAGTACAGTGCGTAATATGTACGAAAGTGCTCTTACACACTTATACTATTTGAATGTGCACCCAGTTCTTTTCAGATTAGCAGTATTTTTCTAAGCGTTTATATGGATCGTCCAGCGTACTCCTTTTGTGATGTACAGATAATTTACCATAAATACCTATTGTAGTGTCTCTACTACTTACTTAAAACACTTTATTAATCAACTACCAATAACATTACATTTGAGGGTGAATAACTATTTCTCTTACATTGTATTTTACTACCGACGCTCACGTCATACACAAGAGACCCACCTAAATGCTGCCAACTGGTGGCCCTAAAATAACTAATACATTACAATCCTCCCCTCAAGTCTGTTACCTAACGTATCACATCTTTACTGTAATAAACTAAACAAATAACATCATATAATAATAATAATACTCTAAATAACGACGCGGTGCTCTTACGCTTCGTTTTGGTCTCATCGATATGTTGGCTGTCGGTATGGCATAATGTGCGGTATTGTGGCCTGGGATTGGAATTTCGTACAGGAGACATAGAAGGTTTCGGAGTACCGGCAATTGTCGACCTCTCTCTATTGCAGTTTTCCGCGGGTTGTTTTAAACGAGGTTTTCGTGGCTGTTGTTCAGTCTCTTTGGTGGGGATGTACTTCTTTATGTGATCAATGTGCCTTCTGGTTGTTCTGCCGTTGTCACCTATTTTCATTTCATGTATTTTTGAGCCAATCTGCTTCGTGACTTCGTGGATCGAAGCCATCCAATTCTTTTTATTGGGATCACTGAAGTCTCGAATGAATAATTTTTCATTGATTGCAAATTTCTGCTGTTCTGGCATGCTCAGATTTCTCTTTCCTTCGTTAGCTACTGGTCTCATATCGAATAACGTTTTTACTTGCCGATTTATCATCAACTTAGCCGGTGTTTGTTTTGTAGTGCTATGTACTGCGTTCCTATACAATAGTAAATACCTGGCAACTAGCACATCCGGATCTACCCCTGGGTTTTTCGGATCCAGCAGCGCCGCCTTCATTCCTCGCTTAAAAGATTTTACAGTATTCTCCGCTGCGCCGTTAGACGTGGGATGATAAGGAGGGCTTGTTACGTGATGTACTCCATTTTTTTCCAGAAATGTTTCCACTTCGTTTGAGACTAGTTGAGTTCCATTGTCAGACACTAGGGTTTCGGGAATTCCCCATCTGCAGAAGCTTTCTCTTAATTTTTGAATCGTCACTTCCGCCGTCATTCTCTTCGTTCTAAATATCTCCGGCCATTTGGAGAAGCTATCCAATCATCACAAAATAATAGTCGTTTTTTATTGGCCCGAGGTAGTCCACATGTACTCTCTCCCATGACTTTGAGCTTTGATGCCAGAGTGTTGTACTCTCTTCCGGGGCATCGTCTCCTGTGATTATGCATGCCTTGCATGCTTTGGTGATGAGCTCGATTTTTTTGTCCATGTTGGGCCACCAAAAGTGCTATTGATTTAATTTTAACAATGCCTAGATGCGATGCATGCAATTCCTCTAGCAGTCTCTTCCTTAGTACTTCTGGTATAATTATCCTGTCGCCCCATAATAAACATCCTCCCTCGGTCGTTATCTGTTGTTTCCTTCTTGAAAATTGGATTAACTTTTCATCGTTTATCTTCTCTGGCCAACCGTTCATTACGAACTTCATACACAAGAGACCCACCAAAATGCTGCCAACTGTTGGCGCTAAAATAACTAATACATTACACATATCATCTTAACACTGTTTATGTACGTCAAAACAGCTTTCTTTCCCTTATGTAATTCTAGAACTCCCAGTAACAATTAGTGTAACACGTTGTGTGTCACAAAGGTGTAGTACTGTGTCATGAACTTATAAAATACATATACATATATATACACGACACAACTTTTTTTTTATATAATGCCCCACTATTATCATTAAAAAAATGTGTAAGTGTAAAGTAACTATAACATAAAAAAAACATTGTTTAAAGTAACATGAACGCCACTATCAATCTTTATCATAATCTCTTCGAATGGGAATTGCCACACGAGATAAGCCATTCGTTTAAATCAGCTTTATAAATGAGACGAAGCAAGTACTATACGTTAGTTACTCATCAAGTGTTTGAAGTTAAAGACAAAAAAATTACATTCTTAAAAGGTATGATATAGGATTATTTTTATTGTAAATTTAATATTGGGTAAATAATTTGATTGAAAACTTTTTCCTTGAAGTTTAAATCCACTTCAGTTAAATAAATTAATTAAAGAAATCCGCTAATACAATATTTCTATCTTAAACAAATCCCACGTCATATCCTCTGAAAAAATTTCCGCATTCTATAAACCGTAAATTGTTACATTCATTAAACTACTTTTCATCTTTTTTGTGTTTTTTACTTTTCTGGATAATTAAGGAAGCTACTGTTCACTTCAAAATTGCTTTAACAAAATTATGGACCACACTAAATCAGTATATTTGGAGTGTTAACACAAGTATGAAATATCTTAACAGTAATCAAATTTAAATGACAACATAATTGCTGTTTTCTTCAACCCTAAACTGTAGAATTTAAAGTTAATACAATATGCTAGTTTCTTGGATGTTAAAGACAGAGCAATAATCTCTTGCTGTTGTTGACCACAAAATATGACAAACCTCCAGAAGTTCGGACCTACATTACTACAAGTTTCATGAACCGAAATATTTTTTATAAATAAACGTAACCTATTGTTTTCTTGAAAGCTCAGAAGTCAGAATAATAAAATTTGACGTTGAGTCAAGAACTGCCATACCAAAGAGAGCCACGTTGTCATTAGCAAAAATGTGTGCCATGTTTAGCAATTTCAGATAGAATGGAGATCCGAGTTTTTCCTTTAAATACTCTTTACTGATTTTCTACAGAACACGTAAATAAAAACTAATCACACTTTTCCCTTTGGAATTTCCCGAATGTAAATAAAAATAATGTGATAATTTTTCGAAACATTTGATGTTTATAATGCTTGTTTTTTCTCCAGGCGGAAAATGTGATTTGGATAACGGATATCTAAATTTATCTTGTACAAATATCGTAAAACACTTTTGTAAAGGACACGAATCAGTTTAACGAAACAAATTTTAACAACAAAATTGCTCAAGTTTGTTCGACAGAACTTCCCAAAAGTACAATGAAAAAGATCCAGCATTTTTGATAAATGATAAAATTTGAATTTACAAATTTTATTTTTGATGAGAACCCCTATAAGTTGAAATAAGCATATGGATGCAATGTTAAAGTAAATGTAAATAAACGTGCTACGCGTATTTTTCGAATGAGTTTTTATTTCACAAAATTTTGCGATGACATCAAGTTGGATTAGTGCTGTGTAATACTAATAACAACAGTTTTGTATTCCCAAAGTTTCAAGAAAATGGAAAATCAATAAAATAAATTGGCACATTCGTAAATAAATTATGTTGAGCCACCTATAAAAATATGAATGTACATATTATATTAAATTAAATCACAAGTAAAAACTCATCATATTTTACACAATTTCGGTAGGATTTATTAGGCAAAATTATGAGATGACGTCATGAACTTTTTGGTGGGGATAAGCAAATATATTTTAATTCAAATTTACCATCCTTACGATAATTTTAAAACATCTACAAGATTTCAAAGCATTCGGTTTATCAGATTTAAATTAAACTGTAAAATATTGTTATATAATCTTCATTTTTTTTCCAAAAATCTGGACGTTTCAGGTTAAAAGTTAACACTGATTGATAATCTACACGTATAGGAGTATGTTATTTTATACAATTTAAAACTCATTTACTGTCTTCATTTCTGAAATGACGTCATCACTTTGTTGGCGGGGATGATCAGACAAAGTTTGGTTAGCGTTTTAGTATCTACATTAATTCATAATACACATATAAAATTTGGCAATAATTGGTCCCATAGTTTCGAAACTTATCTATCACTCTAACAAAAATAGACACAGAAAACGGACGCGTATACGGACAAACGGTCAGACAGACAGGCGAAAACGGGAGACCCATTTTTTCGTATTCTAGGGGAGAAAATTTAAAGGCAGCTAATCGCTCGATTTAAAGGCAGCTTACGCACGTAAAATAAAATGGAATGATTTATCTAAACATGATTATATAGAAAAATATAAAAAAAATTGGTCCAAAGTTTCTTTTCTTAGGAACTGAAAATTAAATTCGTAAAATTTTATCATTTTTCGAACATTTTGTATTTGATAGAACGTTTATTCCCACAACACCGAAAACACACAAAATATTTGTCGACGCGTTTCGCCAACCATTTTGGCATTATCTAGACAAAGCTAAACTTTGTATTTGTTCGATTATTATATTTCAAGGGCGAGGGAAGTTGTGTATAAGTAACCCTAGACCACATTTTTGTTTAACATTCAGTGATGTAACACACTTTACTTTGCTGCAGCATCCACATCACGCTTGTTTATATATTTGGACAAATTGTCTATATGTCTGGGCGCGACGGCGACGGTCACTCGGCCGATAAGCAACTGCTGCAGTACCTGTACGTTATTCTCGTAAAGTTTCCGGGGGAGACTTTTTTATGTATTCACTAATAAATCATACCTAGTTTAGTTTTGTTTCTTACATCCGGTGTAAGTAAACCACAGTTAACGTACCGTTTGCACAAAATCTGCATTATAATTGTCATTTTTTATTAAAAAAGGTAACAAAAAATATATAGAGTTTTTGTTATACAGACTTTTAATAAATGCTATGAAAAGGTAAAATAATTAATATTTTTGTATTAAAAATAAAAAAAGAAAATCTGACATAAATGGTCCAATTTAAGACACCGGTATCCTAAATTGAGCCGCAATGATCCTAATTTGAACCATCATTTGAATTAATAGTGATAGGCAAGGTTCACATACACAATTATCTTCCTCTCCAATTCCGGGACATTCTTCATGACCCCACTTAGAACAGTGGCCACAGCAAGCCCATCCCTCCCCACTACGTGAACTTTGTAGTTGTCTCCACAGTGCAGGCACTCTGTGTTTCGTTCGTCATTCTCTTCCTCTTCGGAGCTTGTCTGAGGTGTCGACGGGTGATGCTTATCTTTTTTTTTCCAAATAAATTCCTTATCGCTTTATTTTTCCGCGACTTGCTTTTTTTTGTTTTATTAATTTTTTTGGTCAGTTTTTTTCTGCTCTAATTCTTCTTTATATGGTGTACTCGTTAATTCCATAGCAGATTGGGATGCCTTGCCTTGTCGTTCACATGTCTTTTTGCTTCCGGTCAGCAGTGATGAAATCTCGTACAAACTGAACTGTTTTTTTATAGACTGAAGGGAGCGAGGAATGTCTTCTGCAAGACGGAATAAGAGGTTCGCTCATATTTTTGGCACTACTAGTTGATTGAAGGGATGAACTAAGTGAAGGCCAGCTTTGTTGTTGACCTGGGGAATGTAATACTTTTGACGAATGTCTGACTAAAATATGAGATACACTAGTATTTCTAACGTAGCTAGTTGGAAAGAGTAAGCTAAGTAAGGAGCGATTTTGCTGTTGGTTAAGGAAAGAAGTGACCATACAATCAACTGGTGGGGGTAAGATTGCTTTGGGAGACTCTATGCCTTCCGGTGCGTCAGATTGTAAAATAGTAGATGGTGCAAAGTTATGATCTTGGAATTTATAACGATTTACTGGCCAAATTCCTACTCTTCTGAAGGCTCCTGCTGCAGTTGCAATAGTGGCTACACGACCGTACGCTTCTCCTATCAGTGCTGCCACATTATACACAGATATCGGAGTTCCAGGATTAGCACGCATCTATGATCTTGGGCTTACACATAATAATTCTGCTAGCCACATCTAAAGGCTGAAGTCGATGGGTAGTATGACCTGGCAACTGGAGCAAATGGAGATTATTTTCCTTTGCAAACTGCAAAGCCTCTACATTTTTGCCGTGCGTACAATGTTCAGCTAATAAAAGCAAGATAATTTGCTAATTCTTCTTCTTGATTTTTGGTAAACGTAGTAGATCGTCCCATGACTTTCTTGATATCGCTGGCTACTTTATTTTCGTGGTTTAGGTGTCTCTTTAAGGGTCTCCAGTTGTCGCCCGCAAAAGCGGTTCCAGTGAGAAGAACTATTTTTTGTAACTATGCAACCCAAAGTACCGACCCATCGCAGGTACCGACCCAAAAACATGAAAGATTATATTCACTGTAGGGAGTCCGTCATAAAATGCAAATCGGTAAACAACACCAGATAAGCTTATTTATTTTCAAATGAAGGATACAGGGAAATAACCATCGAAATCCATTTGTATGTATTTTGAAAGAAATTGAGTTGAGTTGAAAGTTTAAAATGCTGCGGAAAATAGATTGAGAAACCCACAAGGTTTAGTCTAATACAAGTTTTTATTTTCTTTATAATGTTTTAAAAATATATAAAATAAACTGTTTATGTTCAAATATAACAGCAAAAAAAATTGCTGGAAAGTTGTTTCGACAGAACTTCCCTCGCACCTAAAATACAATGAAACATATCCAGCATTTTCGAGTTAAATTTTTACTTTAGGTACACAATTTTGTGATGAAATCATCAACATTTTACAAGTATTCCCAAAATTTCTGGGAAAATGGAGTGAATCGTTCCTGATTTAATCAATAGAGTAAATTGACTCATTCATTAATTTTTTTGAGCCACTTAGGTATATAAGCAAATCTAAAAAATATCAATGCAATGATAAATTACAAGTAAAAACTCATCATATTTTGCACATTTTTAGTAGAATTTATTCGGCAAAATTTTGAGATGACGTTATCAGTTTTTTAGTAGCATAATCCTGAACTTGTGGTTTATAAATACATTATTGAGATTTTTCGCCTTTCCTGTTTTTCGATTTTTCATCTTTTGATGTTTCAATTTTTCAATATTTCAATTTTTGACATTTTCAATTTTTCCATTCTTCAAATTTTCGATTTCTGCATTTTTTTATTTTTCGATTTCATATTTGTCCGATGTTTCAATGATACGATTTCTCAGTTTTTCAACTTTTCGATATTAAATTTCTGATTTTCCATTTTTTTTTTAATTTTTCGATTTTCCAGTTTTTCGATGTTTCGATTTTTCTATTATAGGATTGTTCATTTTCTC